TCTAATATTTTTTTCTATCACAATTTTGTATTCCTTCTTTTAATCATTGCTTATTGGTACAGGGTCTCGTTATGCAGCTCAAAGTCTTAGTGATCCTCCTATCTTAGCTTCCCCAGAGCTGGGATTACAGGCATATACCATCATGCCTGGCTTTGGTAGCTGGCTTGGCGCAGGGCTGGCATGGCATGTAGTACCAGGGATATCAAACCTGGGTCCTTGTGTTTGCCAGGCAGGCACTTAGACCACAGAGCTATCTCTCCAGCCCCACTATTTTGTATTCTTTAAGAAATTATATATATATATATATATAACCTTATCTCAGTATATAGAAGCCACTTTTGCTAAGCCTACCGTTAATATCACATTAAATGGAGGAAAACTCAAACACTCTGAAATCAGGACTGAGATAAGGATGTCCACTCTCACCACTCCTGTTCACTGTAGTACTTGAAGATTTAGCCAGAGCAATCTGGCAAGTGAAGGAAAAGGAGAACTCAATCTACCCTTATCCACAGATGACACGATCCTTTACATAGACAGCTCAAGAAAATACCCCTGAAGACTGTTAAAACTAATAAATTTGTCAAGGTAACAGGTTACAAAATCAACATATAAAAAATCAAGAGCCTTCCTGAACATCAATAGCAGACCTACTGGAAAAGAAATCAGAAAAATATTACCATTCACCATCACTTCAAGAAGTATCAAATATTTAGCAGTTAAGCTAACCAAAAAATGGTAAAGACTTCCACAGTGAAAACTACAGTACTCTGAAAAAAGAGATACAAGAAGACACCAGAAAATGGAGGGAAGAAACAAGACCGTGGCGTGAACATGGGGAAACAAAAGAAAACAAGAAAGTATGCGACCATGCAGCGAATGCTTAGTCTCCGAAATGAGAGACTGTATCCCTTGTGTAACTGATTGTGTAACAGCAGAAATTGAGAAATTGGGACAGAAGTATGCCGTGGCCCTAAGGATTGCCAAGGATCCCTGGTTGGAACAATTATCTTGCACACATGAACAGACCTGCACAAAGGAATGCTTAGTGCACAGAGTAACTCAGCACATGTGTTACACTGTGGCCACAGTTGACCGGGACCTTAAATGGAGGACCCAGGAGATCCCTAGAGTTCCTATCATGTACATTTCTAATCACAGATACAACATTAAAAGGATGCCAGATGATTTTGGAGCCCCTCAGTTCTGATTCTTATAAAACAAAATTCCTCTGCCTCATTCCAACCGACTTTTTGTTTTCAGTTCCCTCAGCATGCTATAGCATGAATTATTCACCCACTTGGTGCATTATCAGCTGAGTATGGTTAAATAAATTCACTTTTTGATGCTTTCTGAAGATAAAAAGAAAAAAGAAAAGAAAATGGAAAAATATCCCCTCTCTTCAGTTAGGCACTATGAATGTTTGTTTGTTTATTTATTTATTTATTTATTTATTTGGTGGAACCAGGGATTGAACTCAGGCCCTGCGTTTGCCAGGGAAGTGCTTATTCCACTGAGCCATCTCTCCGGCCCCCACAATGAATGTTTTTATTTATTTATTTATTTTTATTTTTTTTTAATTATTTATTTATTTGTGTGTGTGTGTGTGTGTGTGTGTGTGTGCGTGTGTGTGTGTGGCCAGCTCAGGCCACCAGAGGGCGCGGCTGGCTGGCTGGCATGTGGTGCTGGGGGATTGAACCGTGGTCCCTTTGCTTTGCTAAGCTTGTTCAAATAGGTGCTTTAGACCACTGAGCCATCTCACCAGCCCCTGAATGTTTTTATTTTATTTTATTTTATTTTTGTTTTTTTGCTGAACTAGGAATTGAACTCGGGCCCTTGAACTTGCCAGGGAAGCACTTATTCTACTGAGCCATCTCCCCGGCCCAATGAATGTTTTTAAAATGGCCCTACTTACAGATCTGATTTCTAGATTTCATTAAACCTAATAAAAATACCCACAGCATTTCTCACAGAACTAGAGAAAGTACTCCTAAAGTTTATACAGAAAAAGGAAAGACCCAGAATAGCAACAGCACCCCTGGGCAATAAGAACAAAGCAGGAGGCATCACATGATGACATTTCAAGTTATACTACAAAGCTACAGTGGTAAGAACACCATGGTACCAGCACAAAAACAGACATGTGGATCAATATAACAAACTAAAGGATCAGAAAACCTCAGGCACCTTCAGCCATCTGAGCTTTGACAAAAGGGCCAAAAACATACACTTGCAGAAAGACAGCCTGCTCCGTAAATGGTGCTGGAGAAGCTGGCTAGAAGCATGGGGGAAATTGAAACACGGTATCTACCTCTCACCATGCACTAATCTAAAATAAAGCATGTTTCAAAGACCTCAGTGTTAACACAGAAACAATCTGCTGGAAGATAAGACAGGTAAAACTCTGAAAGACAGACAAGAGCAGCCCAGGTACATAAAACTTAACATCAAGAGTCAACAAATGGGGCCGGGGAGATGGCTCAGTAGAATAAGTGCTTGCCTGGCAAGTGCAAGGGTCTGAGTTCAATCCCCAGTTCCACCAAAAAAAAAAAAGTAGAAATAAGAGTCAACAAATGATATTGTATCAAATTAAAAACTTCTGTACAGCAAAGGAAATGATTAACAAAATGAACAGACAACCTACTGAATGGGGAAAATATTTTTGGTAGCTATTCTTTAGACAAAGGAGTAAGATCTGTAACATAAAAGGAAGTAAAAAAAAAACTTAGACCCCTCCCCACCACATAAAAGACCCAATCCAAATATAGACAATGGATATGAATAGATGCTTCTCAGAAAAAGTACAAATGCCCAATAAATGCATGAAAAATGTTCAGCATCTTTGGCCATTAGAGAAATACAACTTAAAAACAACACTGAGATTCTATCTTTCTACAGAAGGGAGGTCCACCATCGAGCACTCCAATAGTAACAAATGCTGGGAAAGCTTCAGGGAAAAGAGAAACCCTCTATAATGGTGGTAGGATGCAAAAGAACTGAAGGTAAGTAGTCTATTTGACCCAACTGAAGGTAAGTAGTCTATTTGACCCAGCTATTTCCCTTCTAGATATCTCCCCAAAGAGTTAAAGACACCATTTCAGTGATGCATTCATACCTGTGTTAATAGCAGCACAATGCATAAAAGCTAAGTCTTGGAAGCAGCTCTATACATCCATCAATGGATGAATGGCTACAAGAAAAGTATGGCTTTCAGAAAGTGACTAGGATGGTGGAGTAAATGTATGAAAAGCAAGAGGGAATATTTGGAGGTAAATTAGTGGCAATATGTCCTCTTCTGTAGTACATTTTAAAGTTTTAAATATTTGCCACATATTTTGATCACTACTTATATTGGAAGTGGAGAAGTGTGGGCACAGGGAGAACCACAGGAAATGCATTGCTAAGCCAGGTATGTTTTTGAGGGTGGCAGCTTGCTTGTTGTCCCTCTAGTCTTTGGAGATTTAATTATACAAGGAATTTGGAATCCATGAAGGAAGAGACACAGTCTTCAAAACTGGAGTTAGAAAAAAGAAGGAAGTCCAGGCCAGCTTTCTTTTCTTCCTTCTTACTCTAAATAATGCCCAATGAGTATCAGGGAAGTTGTTGACTTGCTTCTCTTATTATTCCTTTATAGTAAACAAAGTATAGGGAGCACTTTGAGTCCAGTCAGTCAAGAACCCCTAAAATATAGCTATAACATAAAATTATGATAGACAAATTGAGATTTATTGGATATATACCATGTACAAAATCTACTGAAAAATCATAGCCATTAATATCCAGGAGACTGAGGATATTCTATTAAGTAACAGCAAATTTTTATTTTGTGTTAACCCTTCTACCCCCAAAATATACATATTTCTTTTCAATCAAAATTGGAATAAAAATATATTTATTAATTTTTACTGATTTCTGTGGAGAAATATATATTCTAATCACGTGTTATTTGCTACATGAAATAGGAAAGTGCTGATTAAATATTTTGCACTACCTGCTGGTCACAAAAATGCTAGCTTTTATCTATATCTTAAAAAATTTCAATCAACAAGTAGGCTGCTAATTTCTAGCTTCATGCTTAAATTAGATCAAAGGTGACATTAGCTTTCATCATTAACATAGATTAATTCAGTTGTGTAACTAGGTGAGCTATGTACATCCTTCAGGTCAAAGGTTGCCCCTTGGATGGTTTAGGTGAAATACTTTATTACACAACTTGGGCAAATGAGATCCAGGGAAGTGAAGTAGTGGCCTTACTGGCGCGTTTCTACTAAACTATTACATTCTAACAGAGATCACTTATTTGAGAGCTTGAACATTTTCTGTCTCATTAGTTTTTGGGTTTTTTTTTATTCTTTTACTCTAAAATAGATTCCCTTACAGTACAAAGGAAGGGTTTTAATTCTGGAATCCACCATTCCCCTAAGAATGCAGGGCATCATTTTCACCTTATTTTCAAGTCTGTAGATGTTTGGAGTTGTTACCAATGATATTTGGCCTATGGGAGTACAGCCAGGTCATCCTGTCCCTCCAGCCCTCTTTGCAGAACTCTCCTACAGAATTACCATGTGCAGTATCACTTGTGAACATGTGGACCCCCGAAGACTATGTAAGACACAGAGTCTGCCCCACCTGTTAAACCATGTTCAGTTTGTAACCCCAACTTCAAAAGTTTCCATTTCTCAGTCCTTTTCTCTTGCCCAACCACAAGAGGTCCATCTTTTCTATCCTTTGAGCCAACACAAAGGTCATCTTTTCCCTTCCCACAATTCAGCTCTGCCCCAGTGCCACCTCCAGAACACCCCTCTGGCTCACCCTTGTACAAGTCAGGAGATAGCTCAGTGGCTTGAGCACCTGCCTGGCAAGCACAAGGTCCTGAGTTTGATCCTTGGTACAAAAAAAGAAAGAAGGAAAAAAAGTGGGTTGGGGGGAATAAAAAGAAAAACTTGGACACCAAGCTCGCGGGGTTCAGGGTCACAGGCCAGCTCGGAGTGTGCCGCACCATGGTGTGTCCTCTGAACTGCATCGTCGCTGTGTCCCAGAACATGGGTATCGGCAGGAATAGGGACTTGCCCTGGACCCCGCTCAGGAATGAATTCAACTATTTCCAGAGAATGACCACAACCACCTCAGTGGAAGGTAAGCAGAATCTGGTGGTAATGGGTAGGAAGACCTGGTTCTCCATTCCTGAGAAGAATCGACCTTTGAAAGACAGAATTAATATAGTACTCAGTAGCAAACTCAAGGAACCTCCCCAAGGAGCTCACTTTCTTGCCCAAAGTCTGGATGATGCCCTAAAGCTTATTGAGCAACCAGAATTAGCCAACAAGGTGGACCTGGTGTGGGTCGTGGGTGGCAGCGCTGTTTACAAGGAAGCCATGGATCAGCCAGGTCATGTCAAGCTGTTCATGACAAGGATCATGCAGGAATTTGAAAATGACACATTTTTTCCAGAAATTGATTTGAAGAAATACAGGCTTCTCCCGAAATACCCAGGTGTGCTTTCTGAGGTCTAGGAGGAGAAAGGCATTAAGTACAAATTTGAAGTATATGAAAAGAATGATTAATGTGAAGGTGTATTCTGATCTATTCCAAGTTGTTTCTCTTCCTCCTAAACAAATTATGTATTTATAAGTTAGGAAAAAAATATTTGCTCTGGTTTTTGATCTTTGGAAACTTTTTCTGAACAGATGCCATTTGAGAGACATTTAGGGGCCAAGGAGATAGCTCAGTGGCATAAGTGCCTGTATGGCAAGCATAAGGTCCCGAGTTCAATCCCCAGTACCACATGAAAAATGAGAGAGACCAAAGAAAAAGAAGTTGATCCCTGCCTAGCAAGCATGAGATCCAGAGTTCAATTCCTGGTTCCAAAAACTAAGTAAAATTTTTTAAATTCTTAAAAAAAGAAAAGAAAAGCTTGCCCAGTTGACAGACTAGAGAACAGGTAAGGAACACGATTCTGCATTTGAGTGAGTCTTTTGAATGCTTGCTCCCACATATACAGATTTTTTCAGCATTTTAGACAAATTACAGAAATATTCATTGGTGGAGAATGTCCATGTCCTACTCATTATTGGGGTGACAGATGAGCAAAATAGATACTGTACCTGATCTACTGTACATGAATACATAATATTAGTGTGCATAAGAGGAAGAAGAATCAGCAAAGTCCCTGGCTGGGCTTTTGTGTGCCCTTCTGTGTCAAGGTTGGTCATTTAATTAAGGCCATCTGGCACATGCAGCAGTAGCTCACATAAGGAAATACTTATATAACTCATTTCCTGATATTAAATATGACTTTTGAAACCCAAATAGTTCTTATTATTAAGTCTCAGATCAAAGGAAAATATAATGAGCTTTAAAAAAACTGTAAATAGAAATATCATTTACCCACAATTATGTTATCCTTTTTCTATTTTTTTGCTACAGGGTCTTGCTATGCAGTTCAGATTCACAGTGATCCTCCTGTCTCAGCCTCCTCAACTTTGAGATTACAGGCATGTGCTACATCACCAGGTTTTGGCGGCAAGCACAGCTTGCTCAGGGTTCTGAGGCCAGGTATAGCATGTGGCACCGGGGATCAAACTTAGGACCTTGCGCTTGTCAGACAGGTGCTGCCAAGCTATCTCCCCAGCCCATGTTATCCTTTCTTGCAGAGCATCTTGCACGTCATGTATCTCTTTGTGATGGTGGAAGACAATGTATTTGGGGGAAATACCACCACAACGCGATAGAGAGACTATGCCTGCCATCCGTGTAACATGTGCACATACACATCTGCACACGAGTAGATGTCTTTTAAGACTATGTGTTATACTTTTCTACCTCTCTTACTAAGATTTTTCTCACCAGCAGATGTTCAAAACAATTTCTCGACAGATCCTCTAGTAAATTAAAATAGCTATATTAAGACTTAAATCCTTTAATAATTCTTTGGATAATTCCTAAATTACTCTAAGAACTGTATCCTTGGAAATAAATCCTAAGAACAAAATGAACATGGTTTTGTGGGAAGGACTAGCTAAAGAAAATAGGCATCTAAAATGCGGTAGAAAAGAGGCAAAAGCTTTTAGACAACCATTAGCTATCCTCATGTAGGAATAGATTAAAATGTCTAAAAGAAATAGAAATGTTAAATGCTCTAATTTTGTGTCAAGTATGTAATTTCTTTTTTTTGTTTTGTTTTGTTTTATATTCAACCAGTTGGCACCTATAAAATAATACAGCACAGATTTCTTTTTGTTGGTCCTATAATACTTCCCCTGGAACAATTACGCATGCGAATTGGGGACTGTCACAGTCAAACTGATGTCTTCCCTTGGGACCATGAGAAACAATTGCCCTTCCCCACGGGGTGGCTCTGCAAGCTGAGTGTAAAAGCAAGGCCCCTCTGATGAATGGCAGCGGCCTTCTGGAGCGTGCCGCCCTTTGTGGATGGGCTGGGAGCTGCACAGCTGGGCCAAAGCCTTCCTCCCCAACGGTCACCTGTACAATGTGCTTGCTTGTGGCCAGGTCCAACCTAATCAAGAGCAAACACCATGTCTTTTGTTTTTGCATCTTTAAAGCATTTTAATTTGTGTGAGTATGTGCTCCAGCACATAACGCCTGTGTGGAGTTGGTGAGCGCACATAAAGCCTCTTATTTCCTTCTTCCATCCACTTTCTTTCTCCTCCCTGACCTCTTCCTCTATCTCTAGTGAAAGGTATATTTGTGTATTTAACATTCCCTAAGGGATTTTTTTGTTTGTTTTTTCTTAATTCCCTTGGTTTGTTTTAGTCTTCCTCTAAGATTTCATGTGATAAAATGAACAAGGTCTGTGTGTCTTATTCACAAAAAGAGTAACATATGTGTGTGTATGTGTGTGTGTGTGTGTGTGTGTGTTCTGAAGCCCAGAGGGTACAACTTCAGATTAATAACACATGTGAAAAACAAATAGTTCATTCACTTAATTATTCCCAGAATATTCATTTTCCTTCTCCCATCTAAACTGCTCAGTCACCTCTACCTTTCTCTTTCTTCTTCATGGATTTCAAAACTTCTGGAAAATGAACTTATGGGGCCTGTTGTGTGGAGTACTGTTTGGGTCTTGGAGGAAGGGACTGAAATTTTCACTTGACTAACTGTGATGTTCAGAAAATGTACTTAACCTCTCTGAACCTCAATTTCTCATCTGTTCAGAAGGGTCGGTGAAGCTCTTGGGTACTGGGAGGATGAAATGATGGTACATGAAGAGTCCTCAGAGAGGTCCAGAACTCAGGAGTAGTGGATCAGGGGCCTTGGCTTGACTCCCTGGTTAAACACTGACTACCAGCATTAATTTCCTTCACTTCTCTGTGCTTCATTTTATCCACATACAAATTGGAACAAAACCAATGTACATGTACCCTGGCTAGCTGTGGGGAGGCTTAAATGACTTTATACATACCATATCCTCAGACAGTGCTCACCAGAGTATTCTTTTGGCAAATTGTTGCCATTATTTTTAAAAGTTTAACACCCACTCTCCAACTACCTTCTCATGTTAGTGGGGTGTCAAAGGTATACTCTCCTTCCCAAGCTCAAGGGCACCTAAAGGAGCATGTCCAGTTCCATAGTTCAGCTTCCTAGACCCACAGAGAGCTCACGGGGTGTGCCTTTGAGTTTATGAGTCTGTGGGAGTGGCTGGAAGCTACCCTAGGCAGTGTCTGGCTGTTGTTTTGTGCAGTCTACAAATGCAGGTGGTGTGTTGGTGGCTCTCATTCTGGGGAAGTTAGAGCTGCAAACGCAAGTGACACCTCTGCTCACAGAATGGACCACTCTGTCAGGCTAGTATGTGTGGCGGGGCACTGTGTCTCAGCCCATCATAACCTCATTTGGGTTGCGATACCTAACTCTGGCAGCAGGAGAAACCTCCAGGGCTACCGGAGTTGCTACAGAACTCGAGGTTCCACAGTAAGCACCAAAGAGTTGACATCAAGGATGGCTCAATTTGTGGGGGAGCATATCGGGCCCTTGGGTGTGTACAAGGTGCAGATGGTGGGTGGCTGAGGAAGTCATGGTGATTCAGTGAAGTAACTGGCCATCAGGAGACTGATTAAGAGAACTGCCCCAGGAGAAGACCCTTGCATAGCTGAATCTGCCAAGCAGAAGCCAAGAGCCACTCTGCAAGAGGAATTGCATGCATCAGACAGCTGCTTCATTCAGAAAGCAGAAGGGCCCATGCACACCCTCTACTTGTAGAGTTGTATTGGATTTCGTTTGTGGCCTCCTCCTCCCAAGCTAGTTTCTCCATCATCTGGGAGAACTATATGGGGAATTCATGTAATAAAAAATATGCTCCTCTTACAATCTGGGTGACTTCTCTTTGTTTTTTCAGGCTTTATTTTTATTAGTGCATGTTTATTGCACATAATGACTACATGACTTGTGGGACATTGGTACACATATGGAACACACCCTAATTATAATTTTTTATCTCCTGTCCCTCCCTCTATCTCTTGATCCCCTTCCCATTTGGAAAAAGAAAACTATTTCCTTATTTCCTACTATTTGTCATTTATTTTGCTCTTCATTTATACAATATTTTGGGTTTCTCATATAAGAGACACCATGCGGTATTTAAGCTTTATGCTCTCAGGGTGATTCCATTTTCTCACAAAAGGCTCAGGTTTGTCCTTATGTATAAATACCACATTTTTTTATCCACTTATCTGTTGATGGACATACAGGCCACTTCCAACCTTCAGATATGAAGAGTTGTGCTGCTATAAACATGGGTAAGCATATCACCTAATACGATGCCCTTAATTGGGTGGGTGCGGAGGAGGGGGTAAGTCTGGTACAGCGGGTGAAGGTGGTGAGTCATAGTATGGGTATTCTCTGGACATGGGCTCCTTCTGTCCTCTGGCCAATGGATATATAAACAGGGAGCTGCCAGTTTGCCCTTTGATATGTGAAGCAATGCTTTTACTTTGAATTGGGGCAACTAGTGCCCACTGACCTACACACAGCCCCTGAATTTGGGAATGATTGCTCACTGGAGGCTGGCAGTTCTGACTTGTGATTGGCTCCCTTCTCTAACCTGCATACATGCCTTTCAGAGTGAAAGTTGTAGGTGTCTTTCCTTTCCATTTTCCCCCAATACACTATAGGCCCTCAAGGCAGATGTCTCTGCATGTGCTTTTTGACTTACAGTGGAGCTCTGTCCTAAGTCCATTGTAAGTTGAAAACACCCTCATAAAATACTAAAAAAAAGCACTGAAGCTACCTAACCTACCAAACAGCATAGTTTAGCTACCCAGTGCACCAGAGTGTTGAGTCTTTGCCCTCCTTATCTTGTGGCTGGCTGGAAGTTGCATCTTCTGCTACTGCCCTTCAAGAGAAAGGATTGTGCCACATAGTGTTAGTCCAGGAAATGATCAAAACTCAAAATTTGAAGTATAGTTTTTATTATGCATATCATCTTTGTACAATTGTAAAGTTAAAAAATACTGTGAGACAAGTTATCTTATGCAAAAGACAGACTGTTGAAGATTTGGATGGAGCAGGATCTTGGGAAGGCAGAACTTGGAGCACAGGGTCACAGGCCTTCTTCCCCAGCTGTCAGAATTGTAGAGGCAGTGGTGCTGGCAATGTTGGGTGTACACCGCTTCTTGGAGCTCCTCTCCCTCTACATAGGGCCCCATTTTT